CAGCAGGTGGGTAAGTGACCATGTTAGAATAACAGGGTCAGATTTTGCTGATTTGCTCTTTGCCACAGGTTAAATAGAAATGCAACAATTTACTTGCCATAAATACACAAGCCTTAGGTGTTTGGGTTTGTTTTCCAGATGGGAATTAACGTGGTGGACTCTGCAGTATCTGGACTAGGCGGTTGCCCTTATGCAAAAGGTGCTTCTGGGAACGTAGCCACTGAGGATTTGATATATATGCTTAATGGCCTGGGGCTCAATACAGTAAGTTACTTTAACATATTTTAATATTCATGCATTCCTTGCAGCTCCAAATTGCAATGCTTCTCAGATGTGGGAAGCAATTTTGAGGTCAAAGTTTTACTACACTTCTGCTATTTGCTAAAATGCACAGTGGGAAAATGCAATAAAAATTCTTTCAGGGGCTTTATAAAGTAACTTCTTGCTGTAGCTCAGTCACTAATAATGCTACCATTTAACATTTTTATAATGCTTCATGACCTCCGAAGTACGTTTTTATGTATTATCTGATTTGATTTCACACACTTTGTGAGTTTCAGCCTGTACCTTTGCTGTTACAACTGTTGAATTTTGCAGTTTTGTTTTTCGTATGGATGTTTTCCTTGGAGAAAACTGAGACCTTGATTGTCTCACAGTGACAGCTAGTGCTTCTGGAAAAGATCCCGGGGCACTTTTAAAATGGTCAGTGGAAGAGTGGAGCTTAATAATACTTAACAAGTGAGACACTGGATGGCAACCATCGTCTCTTTACAATTAGTACCTGAAAAGTCACATGTCATATAATAACATCCACCAAAATCAGCATCTTGTTTTGCCACATGCTTGTTAACATAACCTGTTAGTCTACTGGGCAGATTTTTAGGAACAAAATATAGAAGGCAAGAAAACTGTCCACAGATGATTAGACATTAAAAATGTTTTCTGACATGTAAAGGCATCATCTGGATTACGAAATGGATTTTTCCCTCTCTACTGCTCTTGCCTTTCCTCTTTCCTCACTGTACTCAACACTGATGCTCCTGGTGACACTAAACTTGCTTGCGGTCTCCATTTCTGCACCATTTTCTTCCACGTCTCCACCCCTTGCTCATGCTTTCACCACTGCTTGGCCCAGAAACCCATACTCCATTTCACCTGGGAAGTGAGGCCCTGCCATCCTAAAACAGTCTTCTAGCATCTCCCTGTCTATGCCCCAGGCCAAATTTATAGGTTCTTCCATGCTATCTTCTGTATTAGCTCAGAACTTAACACAAGCTTGTATCATAATCTT